ACAGTATGCCTTAAATCAATACACAAACCATTTTATATCAATGCGAGACAAGTCCAGCCGAACAAAAATATTGGACTTAAAAATCCGTTTTGATTTAATTAAATATGCACTATAATAGTACACGGTAGTCTTAAATTACATGCTGTTTCACTTGAAAATTGTACATTTTTTGCAAATGCAGATACTTGTCTGACAAAATAGCGTATTTTTACAGAATTGTTACCCTAGCAGTTTATATTAGATCAAATTTTCTGATCTTCGAATATATTTCTGTTTCCGTGTCGTTGTTTTGATGTTTTGTTACTAGCATTGATATGAAGGACCCTAACTTAAACATAAATTAAGGGCAACTAAATACCGGCTAGATCTTTCAACCACTTTAGTCTGTATTGTATTTCTTTATCAGGTGTCTCAAAGGTGTTCACTTCAGCTATATTGACATCTTCTGTTGTTTAAGTGGTAAATGCCATGTCGTGTTAGATATTTTGAATGCTATTTGACACTACATTTCCGCATACAATGCACTTGAATACTATTTTGGTTTGCAAAATCGAAGTAAACAAAAAGGGAATGTTTTGGCAACAAAAAAAATATTACTAGCCAAGATGTCAATTTTGAATGTTGTAAATGTAATGAAGAATCATGCATTTGCATGTGATTTGACAATTTTACGCGAAATTTTGTGTGCGATATCAAATCAGTCACATGATTAAGTCCGTATTAATACATTAGACGTAACTGTTTGTTGAAGAAAATGTGTTGGCATATATACATTTGCCTTAATATATATACTTAAAGCTTATAAAATGTATTGTTTTAATTGAATTTTCGTATATCACAAGTTAAGAATAGTCTAGTATCTCGCCTTATTACATATTATATATATATAAATGTAGGGAACAAAACGCTAAGCTATGCACACTATATTTTTTAATGTAAAATTTATTTTTGTACCATTGTTTTACTGTACAATGTGTTTGAAATCAACATACATCTCCTTTTTGGAAACTGAATTTCGTAATGCATTGCATCATGGTAAATTGTGCACAGACACGTTTGCAAGCACTATAGTTGTCATTATGAAAATAACTGGCATAATAAGATATATTTCCTGCTAGTAATTGCGCAAAATGTGTATGCAGACAGTCAAAGTATACTCTTTCAGAACAAGTAGGATGTCATTATTTCGAATTTACTTAAGGGCATTTAAAGAAATAAAAAATTAAGTTTGTGAGATAAAAATGCAGCTATTTTATCTTGTTATATAGCTTTAAACATATCTGTATAATTAACAGCTTTTCGTGTTATATGAAACGTCTCCGAGTCGTGTTTATAATGGTACATGGTATGATATTAAGCAAGCAACTTCTTTATAACCCCAATGTTATGTTTAATAAACTTGAAGTTATTTTCAAGCACTAAAATTTATTGTGATATAGTTATAAAAGAAAGTTTACATTCGTAACACGGGGTATACTGAGATAAAAACTTTATAAAATGGAAAAATGAATATAGTTATACACTTTATAGTTCCAGTAACAGCAACCAAAAGTAAAAACAAAAACGAAAAGGACATTGTTTTTCTTATAATAGCTACATTTACATTTTGTATGATTAAGTGATAATACTACTAAAAAATATTAAACAGGATAATATAGTGATCAATAATGATAAAAAAGAAAATGAACCTTTTTATCAACGCTATGATTTTTTTCAAGGAACTCAATTGAGATCAAAAATTCAAAACATTAAAGTTGAAAGAAAACATAAATATATGCAACAAAATATCAAAAAATATACCAATACATTAAAAATTGTATTTTTATGCTATAATCCGATTATAATAGTGAATTTACAATTAGAATACTTATGTTTTACACAAAGATGGCGCGAAAGATCTGATATTTTGGTGTAGATCTGCATCAAATAGGACATTTCTCTCGAAAAATTATTTATAGTCATGTCATGTTAAAATCCTCAGTGTTAAAAACCTTTAACAGCAACAACGTATTACCAACACACTGTCTATGATAGATAGTGATTCGCGTTTAGATTACGTTTATAAGTACATCTACATTTATATGCATATCAGTTAGATTTATATCAAATAAATTCCAACTTCAGAAGTAAAAACTAAATAAAAAACAAAAAATAAAATAAACAACATATCCAACTCTAAGCATTTACTATTTCTGAAACATAAAACACTTATTCCATAAAACAATTTAAAACCAAAACAATCAATTGAAAGAAGATGGGTTAATTAGATACTGTTAAAATAGATAGGCTTTAGTCGGTAAACATGTGTCTTTGTGTAAGTTATATTCGTTTTGCAAATCTGCCATTTTTTATGTCCCCTCCCCCACGCCATGTGTGCAATATTTAAGATGATTCGCGTACACCATTTTGTTCAATTTATTTTGCAGAGTAAAAACAAAAAACCTTTTAACGTTTTTTTAAATGCACTTGATATGACAATCTGAGTATATTTCATTATCTTCTTTATTCAAATAATATGTTTAGGTGCCTTTATTTTTGTCTTTTGTAACAGGGCGGATTTCATTTTAAATAGTATGTCTTGAGCATTAAGCAGAAAATTTTCAGATTAAAGTGGAACGTACTTTATTTCGAAGATTTAGCTATAATTCTAGATTTGAAACTTTACATTAACCGGAATGTAAGGATGAAGCACTTATGATAAAATGTGGAAAGAGAGTGCGTATAATTTGACACTGCATCACTGCACACAATGCATTACATCAAACTTTAGTAAACTAAATTTAACAATACGAGGAAATGTTTTATTCAGAAACATTTTTTATTAGCCAATATGTCCGGGTAAAGTGTTGTTTATGTAATGAAGAATGATACATTTGCGTGTGGTTGGAATATCAAGTATGGGACTCATTATATATATCATCTTCATCACGTGAGCCCGTATTGATGCATTTCAAGTATGGTTTTTACTACAGGAACTAGTTCATATTAACACATTTGTTTCGCGTTGAAGGGATACACAACATGGTGCTCGAGATTTGTTTACAATGAAAATCATATTTAATTGTTTTTCTTTGCATTTTTGAAATGATTTTGATTAAGGTTGGTTGGGAATTAATATAACATTTTAAAATATACTAACGTTTCTTTAATAACTGATATGAGATTAAATTGATTTATTGACATAACGGCATGAAATAACTGAAACTGTGATAGAAAATAATTTACCTTTGAATTGTGAAAAGGGCAAGTCGGAAGATCCAATGCAGATGGACATTGTAATAATTCAATCATAATTAAAAATAACAATTTATTTTAAAAGGATTTCAAGTATTGAAAGTAGGCAACACATATCTACAAATAAATCGTATTGCGATGTGAATACAAGATCTCCGTTGTACAAAAGGAATCAACGCAATGTTAAAGCTGACGCGTTTGTCAGAGGTTGTTTTTTTTATAACATATTTATGTAAATTAGAACGCAATAAGTTAAATTTCACTAGGTCCGCTGTAAACTGATTTTATCAATTTGAGACATTTTGTCCTGACATATTCTTTTCCGTGATTAAATAAGCGACTTACCTGAAATTCCCCTGATGCAGCACTATATTGACTTGTATAAATTGAAGTAGGTTTACACAATATACATACATATGTAACGGGCTTTTGGTTTTTACCATTTAAAACATATTCACAAAATACAAACAATACCAATAAAAGGTGAAATGATCCAATTATTTTAAACTAACATTGTGAATCAGACAACATTTATTGTGTCGTGGTTATTTCTTGTGGACGAAAAACATTCCTTATTACGTTAAATGGTCTCGATAAAAAACGTTCCCCGCCCGTCTTTAAAATAAAAGACACATTAAATGAACTCCACTAAAGAACCTTACAAACATTTAAATTTGAATTCTATAAATAAATCGGCTGTTGTACTTAAAACAGAAAGATATACAAGTACAATAGATAACTAAAATGGTATTTCTGCGGTTCATTTAGCACATTTTCAGTAAAATAGTGACAAACGTTATAACGTTTTTGAAATTGGGTCGTGTTATTCTGATAAAAGACTGGACGATGGAACTGAAATTTTGCACAAAAGTTATTTGTCTATGCCTTCATTTTAAGAAATTTTAAATTCACTATATGAACCTCGGAATAAATGTTTGACTTATGGTTTTATTTTAGTAATATATGCAGGAAATTGCTATGACAGGGATCATATATATTATCACTTAAGGTATTGTTGATTTGAAACTAGCTTATAAAACTGTTCTGCAATAATAAAAATATAGAACAAGATGATAGTGATAAAAAATTATAGAAAAAAAAACATAATAACAAATTTGTTATTTTATATTAACACTTTTGATTTTTCAAGTCTTATTTTTCAGTGTTCAATTTCATATTGAACAGAGATTTTTATATCATTTTATACTCTACTAGGACTTTTATGTTTTTTCAAGAGCAGACCGGTGACAGTTCAGACAAATAAAGTCGGTCCGTTTTGCCTTCATTAAAAATGATTGTTCCAACAGAAAATATGTGCATTTACGCCACACGACTATAAAACATGTTTGTGCACAATAAAGATTGATGCCATATATTAAGGCAATATGTTTCTAAAACGGATATTATATTGATTTCAAACACATGATAGAATAAAATGGTGGTACATAAATATATTTAAGCATAAAACATAACGTGCGTAGTTAAGCGTTTCTCTATTTATATATAAATATGTAAGAACAGAAAAAATTGAATGCATGACGTCAATCAGTGGGAGGGAATATATTTGAAACAAATGTATAATTATATAGAAATAAAACATTTTTACGGCAAAAAGCTATGTTAAATGCATTCAATCAATCAATCAATCATAGGTATTTTTATAGCGCGACACTTTATACAGTTATATTCTGTTGCGCTTCACAAGATCCTATAATGTCAAAGTCATTTCCACAGTTTAAAACTATATACACATTTGACGAAACTTTTTATCCATAAAATTGTTCAAAGAGGTGTGCTTTCAGTCTTTTTCTGAATGCAATTTCCGATGCAATGCACTTTAATTCTTTTGGTAGGGCGTTCCACCATTTAGGTCCCATGACAGAAATAGATCTGTCAGCAAGTCTGGTCCTGCGTCTTGTCACAACAAACTGTGTACAAGTGTCATCAGCAGCTGATCTTAGACTGTATTTTCTTCTCACACAATTAAACAAAGTTATGAGATACGTTGGAGCTGTTCCGTGTATTACTCGGAAAACAATAAGAATTACTTTAAACATAATCCGTGCCTTGACTGGTAACCAATGTAGAGATTTTCTGAGATCAGCACTAGGTTGGTCATACACATTCATTACTACCCGAGCAGCCTGGTTTGGAGTCTCTGAAGTCGATCTATTTGATAAAACTGGTATTTCTGCAAAAAGTCCATTACAAAAATCGATGTGGGAATTGACTAAACCATGAACTAGTATTTCCGTTGATTTCTGAGACAGATGCTTACGAATGGATTTCAGGTTCTTAAGTTGAGAGTAGGCTATTTGACACTTTTTTCGTATATGCCTGTCAAAACTAAGGTTGGCATCAAAGCAAACACCCAAGTCCCTTACATGGTCAACACATTTGACAAAACAACCACCTACATTCACACCGGGTATATCAACCTTTGCTAACTGTTGTGTAGTACCATATAAAATGATCTCTGTTTTTGCATTGTTTATTTTCAATTTATACTTTGCCATCCAAGAAGAAATATCATCCAAACAAGCAGATAATTGTTCAAGAACATAAGTTTCATTTTCTATGTTTACAGCTTGAATTTGTAGAGCGACTTTATGATCATCAGCATAACCATGTAACTGAGCCGGGTATTTCTTGACAACTCTATTTAATGCTGCGATATACAAGGTAAAGATTACTGGGCCAGCACAGGAGCCTTGAGGCACACCAAACATTCAGGTTTTTTTGTCTTGATGATTCATTGTTTATGATAACTTTCATGGTTCTATCAGTCAAGTATGATTTGATCCACTGTAAAGGAACGTCATCTATGCCAAAGTCATCATGAAGTAAATGAAGCGCAATGGGGATGTCAATGGTGTCGAACGCAGCACTGAGGTCAATCATAACGACTATTGTAATTTGTCCATCATCAACAGCTTTCAGCAAATCATCATACATTTTTATCAAAGCAGTTTCTACTCCATGGTTTTACGATATGCACTTTGATACGATGGCAAAAGTTTATTTGTCTCAATATGTTTAGTGATTTGATTCAGGGCAGCTTTTTTCCAGTTTTTTGGACAAAAATGATAAATTTGACACTGGTCTATAGTTTTTTTCAGCTCCAGAGCGAGACCTTTTTTCTTCAACAGGGGTCTTATCACTGCACTTTTCCAAGTCTGAGGAAAGATGCCAGAAGTAAGTGACCTATTCACAATTTCTGTGACTACAGGCAGAAAGTACTCGATGTTCTCTTTTAACTTGGTTGTTGGGATGAAATCAAGTTCACAAGTTGTAGACTTTGATTCTAAAATCAACTTCTTCACATCTGTACAAGAAAGCATCTCAAACTGATCCAAGCGACTGACACAAGACTGTTTTCCAACACTATTATTTTGATGTCCAGTATCAACATGTGTATTGTCAAGCTGTGATCTCTTAGATTTTTAATTTTGTCTGTGAAATATTGCAGAAAGTCATTAGCAAGATCTTGATCATTGGAATATGAAGGAAGAGGATTTTCTTTTTCTCTGCCAAGGAGTTTAGAGGTGACGTTATACAGTTTTTTCACATTTCCTTCTGCATCATTTATCTTTGACTGATAAAAGCCTGATTTTGCAGCTGAAACTTCTCTAGTATTATGATTCTTCACTTTCATTTTATGCATTTTATGCGGTGATGCAGTGTCGTCTATATACGTTACTTGACATTTACAACCTAAACATTGCTATTAAAAGCTGACATTACAGCTGACATGGACGCTTTTAAAGTATAGCGAATGCAATAAGACTTAAATGGTTGATTAATCTACACGATAGGCAGGTGCCCTTAACAGTTCTATTTTAGTTAACTTCTTTCATATCAATGCTAGTTAAAAGCACAGAAACAAAAGAAAATTCAACGATAATGCATATGAGCTGATATATACTGCTCTTTGTTGTTAATATACACTTTTTTTATGGACAATTAAGTATCAGGCTTTCCAAACATATATACTTAACTTAAGGTCTATCTAACTTTCAGCGTATACATGTTTTAGATTAATTCCAGCAATGCACGTAAATTATTGAAGCACAAGTAATAGAAGAAGTTTGTTTTCTTAATTTATAAGTACCATCTGTAACATTTTATAATATTAAAAACGGGCTTTCATAAACCCTTTTAGGAAATTTGATCTTGTTTATGATAAGCATAACACATCATACAGCACAAATCTTCGAATTATAATTATCGGTTAAAAGGGAAAGCGTTCATTTTGACAATTCGTTAGTGACTATAATCGTTGTACATGCAAATAATGACAACTTTTTTCAATCCAATAAAACGGATTAATAAGTAATAGTTATAGAATATAAAACGAGTTAGTTACGAGGATATAACACTGACTGGGGCGACTTCAAGGGATGTGTCTGCTTAATAATACATATTTAGACACACAGAGGGCAAAAATAATTAAGTTTAGTTATTATCCAGTTGTCAGTAAACTTCAAACAAACTACAAAACTCTGCTTCACACACTGTCAGTTAAAATGCACATTTTCACAGGTATCAGGTGACGTAGCGGCTACTCCCTACTGCCAAATATGGTAAGCATGGTGCAATTGATATGTGTTAACAAATTGAGGTGCAATGTACATAATGATCTGAGAAGACTGGATTAGTCTCTTTTTTACTCCTTATGCAGTACCTACGTCCAATTTAATGCAGCATTTTTTAGTTCACATTTCTATGGCTGTATGAACTTTACGGACCGACCGTTCATCAAAAGTGAAAAAATCGATATGAATATGAATATGTTGTTCAGAGTATGATTGAATGCATTAAATTCGATTTTCATTTTGTACCATAATGATTAATATAAATCTAATACAAAATTTGATCGTATATGATACACAGTCTTATTTTATTTACTTATTTACTTAGTAGGCCTACCTGTGTTTAATTGCAATTGGTTACATATTATTCCTTCACATAGTTCATGTAGTTATGTATGTTAAGTCAAAATTTCATATTGTTTTAGAATTATAATTTATTTTCTTTGCGACTGTGTTAAGGAACTCCCTGTGATAATGACCTTTTTAAGGTCCTTTTGGAGGTCACATATAACAGTCTCGACTGTACACTGAGATGCGTTTTAAATGTTGATGCTATTTATTTTCATCAAAACATGTGATATTGATTTTAAAAATATGTTAAACAATTCGATGATAAAGATGGTGGTTAGATAAAAATGTAGAAATCATATTATATTTACATTCAATGTTTAACAATGTCTTTTATTCGTTGATCTATATCTCTTCAGCGCTCGCGCATCAAAAAGGTAAATAACTCAAAATTGGAATAAAAATCAATGATTGTCGAGCAAACAAATTGTCTGCGTAACGCTGGATTACATCACCATTGTTTAAATCATCGACGCAAGCATTAAAACATCACAAAACAACGACCAATAAATACATTAATTACTTAATAAATATTAAAATATATATTATGAAAAACGGAAAACAAAGAATAAAATGAAGTTCTCAAATTGTTCATTATTGAAACATACTAGTCAATGACATAGCACGCGCACGTGAAAAGCATGTATACACTCGGTTATTTTATACGAAAGTCAGATAACGGGACCCTAAACTGCCGAATTATGCAACAATAACAATACATGAAGGGAACAATTAGTTGTGCATTATCATCTGCAGATTTCCTTTATTCTGGCTATAATTTCGTCTTCGTGCTTCTGCAGATGCAAATGTACAAACAGGTGCATTAACCCGTTAATACTGAAACAAAAGCATTAGATTTTCACGTTGCGTATAAGTCAACTGAAAGTAAACAAGCGAGTATAAATCTATATAGACTTTTTGCAATTAATAACTCTGCTAATTACTCATTCTCCGATAAACTTTATTTAGAAAGAACAAATATTGAAACAAATTCTCATTATATCTACCAATACAAATACAATATTATTATATTATATATATTTTATCAGTTTGTCTGGGTAATTGCTTATGTTTTACTCTTAAAAATAAATTAGAACCACAGATAATGTTTGTTTTAATATCGTACATTTACTATAAACGTCAGTCTGAAGTGTGTCTTTTATATATAATAACAAATAAATACTATTTATAGTATTTTATTGTATTGATAATACAGCTGCCTTCCTGACAATTGTGTTTGAAATGCAGACGCAAAGAAATGACTAGTTGAAGTAAAATTAGCGAATGATCTTAAAATCCGGCTGGTACTGACACGTAATGTGGACAACTTCTCATCCAGTAAAACACAATATACTGAAAGGTATCCAATTACATGCATGTGTCATATGACACGAAACACATTTTGTTTTTAATAATGCTATAATTTATATTGTATTAAGTAACTACTGATTGGAGCCGTATCTAATATTCTATTGTTAAATAAATATTTTTCTATTTCAATAAAATCTTTAGAGTGACAGTTCTTACTCAACAAATTTCGTTATCGACATAAGCCGTTGTTGTTATTTGCAAATGATAGACATTATGTGTTTTCTTGTTTGTTCTTAGGAAATTGAGTAATAAAACTGACATAGTAACTGATAGGAAAGAGTTCATTGAACATTTCTGGTAAATAAATTATGCCAGCCATTAAAATCACAATGTCATTTTGTAAACTATCTAATAAATATCAAGTTGATTTATAAAATTTCCTTATAATGCAGTTAATCTATTTAAAGTAATCATTAATCAAAATTTTGAACAATTAAATCATGAAAGTGAAATTAAATAATACACAATGGTGAATTACATTTCTTTTTAAGTAAATGAAACATTATTCGGAATAGTGGAGGAAAACGTAAACTCCAAAAGTATGTTATTGTATGTAAATATAAATGCGTATGAATTATCACAAGTCTCATTTACTAGTATTCTGAACTTATTACTATAAAATATTCCCTGCATAAATATATATGAGACATTGTACAATATCAGACTGCACACCATATAATAAGCTTGCAAAGGCGTCGGGTGGTATCTCAAATAAACAAAATTTATGCCACTGAAGAAACGCATAGTGAAAAATATTCAAATATTGAACGACAAAAATGTATGTGTTATATAAAATTGTTGGTCTTGGTTACGACAGCAACTTTTTTCTTTAAATATTGTTCGTCTTGGCTGTTTTTATTGTGTTACACGTACACTTTCTAAAACATTCAAAAGATTATGCTATAGTCAATATCAAATATTAGACATCTGCTGATGAAAGCCTTATCTAATATATTATTGCTAATGAATGATTAAACTCATGTGAATATTTTTATTTACTTTCCTGACTTTAGTACATTTCAAATAAGATGTCATTGCTAACTAAAATTCGGCGTTGTAAAGCGTTCCTGTCGATTTTAATCATGCACATATTATCTTATTTTGACAGTGAAGTCTATGAATTTGAAGATCGTTGCTGAAGAGAGAAAGTTTTCATACCGTCAGCAAAGAATTTAAATATACGGTTTATTTCAGGACCTAAACTTGGTCAAGCAATTTTCATGTACATTTTCAGCACATGTTTAAGAGAGTTCTATGTATGCTAGTTTTAAATGAAATCCACAATAAAAAAAATAATAAATTTGTTAATTTAATAATTACATGTATATTTAAAATGATCACATTCACAAACTTGGAAATGGACAAAAGTAGTTAAAAAACTAATTAACCAAAAACAATTCATGTGTTTTGTTTGAAAA